GGTGAGTTAAACAAACGGCAATTTTACCTCCTACCGTACACGTGGCGTACCTCTATTACAAACCCTATCCTTCGCATTTTTGCATCTAGAATGTTGGACGATCTCACTAAACTACTTTCCAGACATGGTTATGAATTTCAGCTACCGTCTACCTACCGTAACATCATACTATCACTGTATCACAGTACACGCCAAATTATTCCTCTGGGCCAAATTCCACATGTCCCAAAATTCTGAAATTTTGGGCTTAATACTGCAAGAGCGCTGAATCATCTCCTCTTTTCTGCATATCAGAGAAACAGTTTCAAACCTACAATTTCTTAGTCAACTTGCTCATATCCTCTTCATAATCGCTGATAATTCAGGCAATTACTCAGCTCTTGAAGTTCGTTTCTACTTTGAAAGGCATTTTGGATATTTTCTGATAAACTTCTACGTACCATGCACATTGATAGTACTCCTCTGTTGGGTAGCTTTGTGGACAAATCGCGAGGCTACAGGAGATCGCATAGGGATGGGTACGGTCCGCTCTCGTTCTGAAGACATTTTGACATTTTCAGCTGATAAACCCGATTGAAATATCGTAACACTGTTATTTTCAATTTCTTATTAAGTTTATTGATTAAGGAATCACTTCTGTTCTTACAATGGTCCTAATTGCTAACGACAGCAAATCGGATGCTCCCAAGGTTTGTTTTTGCCGTTGCAGAGAATCAAAAGAAAGCAGCATTAGTTCCATATACGTGGACCCAATCTTTCACCTTGTGAAGGAGTGAGCCCTATTTGCCTTCTTGAAAAGTTCAGTAAAGCTTAAGCCCTCAAACTTCCGCCCAAATTTGGCACAAAACAGGATTTGTAGGAAACTTTATTACAAATCACTTGATATTTGATGATGAAATTTGTTTGCAATCTTCTTCTTTCGCTGGAATTCCAATGTCACAAAATGATTCATGTTTTTACGTCATGACACCATGACGCGGCGCAAGTATACTGCAATCCGCATGAGCACTTCAATCAAAAGTTCCCTCGAAAAAGCATTTTTAACAACACAAGTGAAAAAAGATGCATTTTGTATAAACGCGATATGCAGTAACGAGATACAGTCCAAGCTATCTTTTTCGCCATGCAGCGCATTTGCGCGCGCAGCAATGATCGATTTGCATGAAGTTAGCACGACCGTGCACATATGGCGTTGCGGCTGCATGCCA